GAACTGCCAGTGGTCCACCGACCCCATTAAAACCCTGAATGTTGGGTTGCGAGCAGGAACCGTCTAATCTTGAAACGAATTTTCGTGCATCGACGGTGAACTTGCGACTGAAGGAAACGAAGACTTGGGGCTGCGCATGAAGTCACAGCTTTGTGAGTAGCGTTGATGGCGACTGCGATGGTGATGGGGCGTACGCCAATCGTCTCATCGCTAGAGCTGTGTGGGTCCCGACACCGTCACCTGAAATTTAGGCCTTATGCCTACAAAAGTTATAATTACAATACAATGCACTTACCGTGCTTTTCCCTTGCCATTGTATAGCAGCCTTTAACCGGCTAACCCCCGGGATTTTGAACTTATCCCTATGGTAAAATAAGAGGAGAATTTTTTATCGTTCTTACTGCTGTTTCGCACATAACTATCCTATTGAGGTTTCTGATGTCCCAGATGGAACGTAAGGAAAGTAGAACACTTAAGTACCCAGCCAATAACTGATAATCCTGATTCAGTTTTTCCACACGTGATCAAGCGCAACTTATCCTTGCGAGTATATCTTGGCTCGTCAAAAAACAACAAAAAGTATTCGTGTTCATGGTATCTTCAGTGTTGATGTCTGCTTTACTACTCCATTGCCCCAACCGGAGTGAATTACCAATCTCGTTGAACTCTCAATTAATCCGCATAACTACAGCTTCCATGAATAAAATGTCGGGCTAACTAAAACTACTAGCCAGACATAACTAATGAATACAGCTGATCCGTACCAATGGATTGTCAGAAACAGGTTGTAATCTCCTTGGCGGGCTTTCTCGAACGCTACCAGTTGGTACGCTAGTAATATGTGATAAAGGTGTGCTGTTCCGAGCTACGCACGCGAATATGGCATTTGCTCACTCATATCCTAGTTTGATCTCCACACGAGTTGCGTCAGAATAACGTTTTGGGGAGTTCGGAGGGGGGTGGGGCAATACCAATCATCGTCTAGAGCTGAGAAGACTTCTTTTCAGAATCGATCGATCGGTTTACGTTGGGAACACGCTTCGCCACATTCGAATTAGTCAGGTTTTTGTTGGACCGGACTGCCTAGTCTGTTTACTTGTTCTGTATTAAACCGTGGTTCACCATCAGGCGAATGAAACATCCTAGCAAGACAGGCTTTCCCCGGCTTCGATTCGACCAAACCTCGACCCGCCACTTAACTGCGCGCTGCCATTGGTCCGTTTTCCCACATTGATGTGTGATTGTTTGCCTGTGTATGTGTCTGTATCTGTGTGTCCTCTCGTGCACGTGTTTACGACCCACGCGCCTCGGATGACGATCAATGCAACCGAGCGAAGTGATGGGATTTGCGCGAGGACAGAGAGAGACTCACAACAGTGTGAAAGCCAAAGCAGTACCAACGAATATCGATCCAGGGCTTGAGATTAAACCAAGCGGACTCTGTCCTGAGAACGAAGCAGGTTACGCCTATGGGCAACAAACAAACCTGGGCACGGTTGACTGCGATTGGGGTTGCGATGAGGGTTGGGTTTTTCGGAGGTTCACTAACCAATGCAAACTAGGTATTTATGTAATTTTAAAAAATATTTTGCTTCGCCTTGTATTTATTAAATATAGAAATGTATAATCGACTTTCAGAAAAGGGGCCGCAGCCATGCCAA